TGTTACTTCATCTCAAGTCGTGAGAACACATAAGCCTTCCATCTTCATGGTTCATTGCAAGTAGGGATTGAGTGACCTTGAATTTTCAAGTCTTTGAGCTTGTGGGTCAGGGAGAATAATTGGAGGAGGTTGAGGAAGAGAAGTATGATTTTGTCACACCCCAAAACCGGAACGGCGGAAACATTCTTGGGTGGAGGACGTCATGTTTAGTATCACAAGACATGCATCATAGTAATCAAAGTAATGAACAACCATTTCATTAGAAGGAAAGTGTTTACAAAGTAGTGTTCACAAAACATAGGAATACATAGCAAATAACAAACAAGACTGAAGCTATACTGCTCCATCTTCTGAATTCCCAGAGCGAGTACCTGTCTACTAGTTTCCTGAGATAGAAGTTTTTTGAAAGAGTTGATCAGCAATTAGCTGGTGAGTTCATAAGATTTTAGTGATGTAAGTAAGTTGTAGAAAGCTTAGTAAGATGTAGTAAGTTGTAAGTTTTGTTTAGAAAAGTTTGCCTGTTCCTCCAGAGAATCCTATATTTCCTGCTTTGATGAAAGATAAGTAAAAATGACTCTACAATCCTTTCTATGAGTACTAAATGGATACAAGTTATATAAAACTCAGAGTAAACAAACAATCGATTGTGTGTATCTGCCCTAAGCCCACAACCAAACAAGGAACAGGAGATGAGACAGATGACACACATCCCATTGGTTGTTAGATCCTTATTGTATATAACCCTGCTGTATTCCCTTGGTACTCACGGAGTTAACTGTAATAGTTCCTTTATATTTGATGAAAAGATTCTTTAAGAAAACCCTTATTTCTTATAATAAAATAGCAACCACAATGATTCCTTCTATGATCACTTAGTTTATACTAACTATATATAATCTAATATTGAACAGATAGTTAATTGGGTGAATCTGCCCAAAGCCCACAAGCAAACAAGGAACAGGGAATGAGGCGGAAAGCACACATCCAAATACCTATAAGATATTAATTATATATAACCTTGATGTATAAACTAAGGTATTATAGGATTAACCACCTAAGGTCCTTTAAGTTATACTGGTTTAATAAAATGGATTAAACCCTTTATTGGTAAGTTTCTAGTTTTGTATATCAAAAGTTCTATTTGAAAAGTATGTTTTGTATTAGAAAACTGTGCATTGAATTACTGACGTATGACCTGACCCATACCTAGCACCCCTTATGATGACTTAATGTATACGGAATATATATATATATATATATATATATATATATATATATATATATATAACTAAGATCGAATGGATAATAGGCTGGGTGAATCCGCTCTAAGCCCACAACCAAACAAGGAACAGGAAATGAAGCGGGAAGCACACATCCTATTGTCTGTCGGATACTACTAACATATATCCCTTGATGTATACATTAAAGAATCATAAGGTTAGCATTATAGGTCCATTTCTACTGAATGTTCATGTTACGACTAAGTTATGTATCTTGTTGATTATCGTCGGGTACTTTACAGATGTACCCTTTATAAATAACTTAGGTTGGATATTACTATCACCTCGTGCCTGCTAGTCCTTGTACGTGAAATCATACCAGTGTCAATGCAAACCCGGAAAGATATATTATTAAGTTTCTCATCTCGTGCCTGCTAGTCCTGGTACGTGAAATCGTACCAGTGTCAATGCAAACCCGAAAAGATATATTATTAAGTTTATCACCTCGTGCCTGCTAGTCCTGGTACGTGAAATCGTACCAGTGTCAACGCAAACCCGGAAAGATATATTATTAAGTTTATCACCTCGTGCCTGCTAGTCCTGGTACGTGAAATCGTACCAGTGTCAACGCAAACCTGGAAAGATGTATTAACATGATTTTTCCCAGTACTTGTTATAGTATGTTCCTCTCTGTACTTGTTATAGTATATTCCTCTCTGTACTTGTTATAGTATGTTCCTCCCTGTTTCTCTTTATTGTGTGTTCTCTTTATGTTATCGTGTATTGTATCTAGTATGAACCAAACCTCTAAACTATACCCCTTATAGTTTACTAGTGTTTTACTTGAACTGTTATAGAAAAGACTCGTTTTACTACTAAGTTATGCTTGTACTTTAAAAATGGAGTTTTGTTAAACTATTAAGTAACATAAAATGAAAGAGCTTTTGAAATGTTTTGATCACTTATAAAAGACATAAGCAATCATTTCAAAGATGTTTATAACAAACATTTACACAATTATCATTGTGTTCAACTTGTATTCCCCCCTTAAAAGCATTTAAAACAGTTTAAAAGATTGATTACGGGGTATGAACTCACCTTATGTGGGTGATTCAAACGAATGTGCGCGTAAGGATGAGAAGTTCCACGAATGAAGTCCCGAGACTTAACGAGTCCTAAATGACATATAATGGCATATATTGACATAAATATAGTGTTTAGAAGCAACCAAATGCAAGGAAACACCTCACGGGACTAGGAAACACTTTGACCAAGTGTTGGAATCACATGTGATTCATCTAAAGGGTGTTTATGGCCATGGTTTGTTGTTCACGGCCATGTGTTTACGGACAAGGGAGTTTACGGCCGTAAACTCATGGTCAAAGATGCATATGAGGGTGTTTGAAGGCTAGGGAAGCTTGAGGGACTATTGCTCTACACAAGGATGAGAAAGACCAACTCAAATGGAGAGTGTTGAGGTGTTTACGGCCACACCATAAACCCTTATGGCCGTAAACACTCTAAAGGGTGTCTTATTGGCTCTTAAAGGTAAGGAGTTTCAAAGGCTTAAATGTCCCAAAGGTTAGCAAAGGCCTAGATGTGTTTAAGGTCCAAGACTTGACCATAATTGGAGTTTACGGCCAAGGGTGTTTACTCTTGCACCGTAAACTCTCTAAATGATGAGTTTGGTGATGTTTCAAGGTCTTACAAAGCACAAGGGAGTGTTCTCGCCTAGAATCTAAGCCTTAGGAAGAGTTTAAGGCTCAAATGGCACCTTTATAGGGGTTTACGGCCAAGGGAGATTGCTTGGCCGTAAACTCCTTTTGGTCTTGCATTCTTGATGATTTCAAGGTTCCAAGCAAGTGTTTCTAGCATATAACTAGTTAAAGGAAGAGTACTCACCCTTGGAGGCCCTTTGATGAAGATCGGGAGTGAAATCTCGATGATACTTGAGAGAGAATGGGAGATTTCGGCCAAGGAAGTGAAAGGGATGAAGGAATGACTAAGTCCCACATATATAGGGGTGAGTTTACAGCCAGACCATAAAATCTATGGCCGTAAACTCCATTTTGGTGGTGTTAAGGCTTAAATGTTGCACAGTGTCTCTAGCAGGTACATTCTAACACTCACTCCTTAAGTGTACTAGGCTTAATACACTCAAACAGACTGCAAACAGTGCCAAATGATAGCAGGGAGTGAGTCTGACTTAAGGTTGATTGGCTTGACTTATAAAGCAAATTTTTTTTGGGTTGTCACAGATTTCCATGATCCAATCGCGGGACATCATCTTCATTAGGAAAGCTTGTTCCAAGGGATTTGGGAAGACTATAGTTGTCTGAACCAGACATCTACAATGGGAGAAATTCAAGTTAGTTGACTTAAGTTCTTAATTGAACACCCAATATGAAATATTAAGGCTAGGACCCAACACAATATTTTATAACTTGGAAGAGGGATGCCGTAATCCAAGCTACAAAATATTTGAAGGTAGGCGAATGACGATTCACCAATTTCCATCATTGAAAACGAAATAGGTATTAGGTTTTTATTGGATTGAAACTCCTAGATCTTTTGAGATTCATTGAACTTTTCAATGGCATGTTTAAATCTCGATTGTGCCCTCTTAAGTTTGTGACTGGGATGCCGAGGATCACAAACAAGGTGTGAATAACCATGCAAATTAACTTGGTACCCTTAATTTTATCACCTAATCGATGTGTCGGTTACCCACACGTACTCCACCGATCTATGATAAACATTAAGGTCACCCTTTGTCACTCTTACTAGTCCATGTTAGTGTGTCGGTTACCCACACACACTCCACCAACGACTTGGTAAGGTATAAAGTGTAATTTCACGGGTTAGCACCAATTTCACATTTTCCTAAAGTAACTAAGATTGAGAATTTATAAAAGGTTTAGTTACTTTATATTTATCATTATACTTTTAATGAGAATTATAGTCCTTGTCCTACCCGTTTGGCTAATGACCCTCCACCAGTTAATAAAGCGGTGGGTGAGAGTGGACACCCATTAAGCTGCCATTTTATAGGCAACAACCTTATACCCCCCCTTATAAACCGGCTTCGTGAATGAGGCCTACTAACGGTAAGACTGACTTGCTCTTATACTTAT